GATTATCTTCATTTTGAATTGTCAATCTCAGTCAAACTCATCATTCTAATACTTTAATATTTTTTTACTTATTTTTATGTTAACATGCACATTCAATTTTATATATAAACCATATACTCCCTTTAGATAATTAGATGAAAATATTATGAGTTTTATTAAATAAATATCTTTTGTTTCAATACTACCATCTTGGTATTTTTATTCTTGAATATTAAACATCTATCAATTTTTTTCTCACCTTTTTTTCAAGTTATGAATTACATATATGCCTTTTATTTGATCTAAATAATTTTTAAAAATTTTTTTTTTTTTTAAAATTTAAAGCTTACAGTATGAAACTTACAGAATAAAAAGTTCAAAAACTCTTAGAAAATCTTACAACTCATCCAATATTCCCTCCAAATAAAATGAAAGTCTGAAATTTAGACTTAAACCTACAAATAGTTGATCCTATTATAGTTCTTTGTGAGAGAGTAATTTCAAATAATTTTAATCAAATACATTATTAATATATTAATAAATTCTACTTTGTAAATGAGCTACTACAGGAGAAATGTCTGTATATCAAAGATAGACACTTTTTAATCTAAGCATATTAGTCACATTATATTTTATACAAAAAAAAAATTTTAAATTAAAAATTATATGTTTTATATTATTATAATAATTTTAGATACTTATTGTATACAACTTGAAATGAAATTATAAATATAAAATTTTTTAATTTATTACCAAATGTATGGTATAATTTAGACAAGTTTTTTTATTAATATTTATGTCATCAATCATTCAAAGAATAAGCTAATAGTGCTGTATGAGAAATAAGTATCCTAGAAAAATTCTCTTATTCAAGATTGTTTATTTATTTTAAAAGGTTTGATAATTTTATTTATTTACGACTTTTTATATATATATATTTTTTGTTGTTCTTTAATAAAGTTAAATTAATATAAAAAGGTTAATATATTTGCCATTTGATGATTCAGAATAAAGATTTCTAAATGAATACCTATCTATAAAAATTGTATAAAAAGAATTGATTATGATTCTATATTATCACTTATTATTCTATAATAAAGAAATGGCAATTATCTAAAGAATCAGTTAGAGATAATATTATTATAGTGATGTCTAAAAGCTTTCTGTATTGATAAAATAAATATTTTTTATAATGTATACTGATGCAATAATAATAATTTTTAAATTTACTTTTGATATAATATAGGATCTTTACAATAAACAGATGGAAACTGCTGAAAAAAATTAATTAGATACTAAATATAATTTTAGGTCAAAATATTTTCAGATTTAGCATCAACTTATTTTTATTTTTTTTGGCACTTTTCCCCTTTTCTATTGCAAAGGTCCCATATATTCATTGTCTTAAAACAAGTTCTTTTTATTTAATAAATTATATTTATTAATATCTTCAGTACATTAGCAAATTTGAAAATAAAAATAATAATAAAATATATAATTTGAACATTATGAACTAAATTGCTCTAAGTAAACGTTATCAGTTGAAGATTTTAATTTTTATGAATTCTTTTAATATTTGATAAAGTAATAGTTCTTGATAAATTTTTGATCATAATGAGAGTTTAACTATGACCAAATTTATATTATTAGCTTGAATTAATAATAAATAAAAAAGATTATTTATTCATAATTTAAATAACAATTTGAATTGAATTTCAACTTTTGAGTATTATAAAATTCGTAATATATTGTAAATTACTTAAATCTGTGCATATTCTCTCTAAAGAATGAAAATAGTAAGATAAGATAAAATTATTATTCAAGAAAAAAATCTTTTTAGATTTAAAGTATTTATTTTCATTATGATTTAGAGAATTATATGAATCACCAGAAATGCTTAATGTAATCAACTGACATATGTGAAAATAACAGTAACAAATAGGATTTTATGCTCGTTTCCAATTATAATACATAGTAAAAAATGAAACATGAGAAGAGAGTGTTACAGTAATTAATTTTTTTTTAGTGCTTTTAAAAAAAAATAAAATAAAATAAAAATATTAAATTTTTTTTTTTTGCATTTTGATATAATATTTTAATTTGGTCTAAAATAATAAACTAAAATATAAAATTTGATTACACTATTAACACTATTAATAATTAAAATTTTTTTTAAAAGAAAAGTTACTTTTATGAATTATGAAATTGAAGTAAATCATTTTTTTCATATAATAATAAAACTTATTTTTTTAAGAAGTTATATTAGTTATCTTAATATTGTCAAAAGAATCAAGAATGATTCACCAAGACATGGTAATTGATATAATAAAAAAAAGACTGTCTAATATTTCTTAACTATAATATTTGCATTTCAAAAAATATCAATTCTATGTAACAAAATAATTGAAAGGCAATATGATGAACAAAATTTTTTCTTATCAAAAATATATTCATTTATTTTATTAAAATTAAATTATAAGTGATATAAATACTTAATTCTAACTATTATTGAATCACGTATAGTAATTATTATAATATGTATGCAGTTTTACACTTTACATATCAAAATTACATATCAAATTTATATAAAAACCTCAAAAATAATTATATTATTAAAAGTTTAGCCTTTAATATTAACAATATAATCGCTTTACTTCTGTACTTAATTTGTTGTAAAATTACATTAAATACTTTATGAGTTAACTAGATAACTTCATGTTTTATATAAAATTTTTACTTTTAATCTTAAACTAAATAAAAATCTTTTTAAATTAAGTGGTTAGCATATTAAATAAAAAAAATTTTTTAAAATTCTTTATTAAAATTTATATTAAACAAAAAGCAAGAATAAAAATGGAATTTTTTTAGGAGTAAAAGCACTTTTATAAGAACTATTATGCATGTGTCTAATCAGAAAATTCTGTTTTACTAATTGATAATTTGTTTAATATTCTTAATAACAGCTGCTCTTCAAAAGTTGTGACACATGTGATTTTAACTTTCAAAATTTTAAGATATATTCTGAAATTGGATCTAAAGCATTTGCTTCAGATTATACTATAAGTTTAAAAGATAATCATATGAAATTTGCAGTTAAAAAATTTGCAGAAGATTTTACAGAAAAAATCATTTTAAATGAAATTTGTTTCTTATTAAATAATTTTTTATTGATATTTTTTGATATTCTTATTTAGGTAAATTATATACTTTAGATTTGTTTAATGAAAATAATAAATTACTATTTAAATATAATTAGATTTTGTAGAGTAATGAGATATAAAGGTAAAATAATAATTGCATATTTAATAAATTTTGCATATTATATTTTCATATTTTTCATTTAAATAAAGAAAATTATTTGCTTGTTCTTGAATATGCAAATGGTAAAACATTTGAAAAATATTTACAAGACAATTTTAAAATTTTCAAATGTAAATAGAAAAGTAAATTAATATTTGCTCGTGAAATTGCAAGTATTATATCATATTTACATGAACATTAAATTATACATGAAGATCTTATATGTTTTAATCAATTGATTATTATTATTTTATCATTTAATTTTATTATATAATTAATACCAATTTTTTTAAAGCATCCTAATAATATTTTAATTCATCAAGAAGCAATAAAATTAGTAAATTTTAGATGTTCGTACTTGTGAGGATCAGATTTTTATACCAAAGTAATATGTGATGTAATTCCTTATATGGATCTAAGTTTTTGGAAATTATTTGTATAATTTAACCAAAAAAATCTGATATATATAACTTGAGGGTATTGCTCTGAGAATTAATAAGTTGTTCATCACCTTTTAATTTTAAAATAACAAATGATACTTCTATTTTATTTGAAATAATTGAGGGTGAAAGAGAAAGACCTATCTCAACTATGAATGGTATTTTGTTAAGCTTTAAAAGTAATTATAATTTTAATTTTATAATGATTTATTTTTTATAATCTAATCTTAATCATTTATTATTTATTTAAACAGAATGTTAGCATAATAAATCAGATGAAAGGTTAAATATTAAACAAATAATATTAGAATTTAATAGTATAAACAATTCTAAAGAATGTATAAGAAATAAAGAATTAATTTGTGAATTTATAAAAGGTAAACAAAAGTATCTGCATACTTTTTCACTTAATATAAAACTTAAATTTTTTGTATTAACAATAAAAGGTCAATTAATATTTTATTTAAAACTGATTAATATCTACATTTTGTATTAAGTAACTAGTATTTAGTTGGGTTATCATTTGCTGCAATCACAGTTTGAATTCATTGTAGCATACTATTGACTAGGTTTTTAATAGTATGCTTTAGAATTTCTTACTATGCCTTTTTAACATATTGGTTAAGATCAGCAAGATTAGATGGGATTTTTTATAAGTTTAGATACTTTTTTTGACTTCAGCTAAAAGATTTTCAATTGGATTAAAATCAAGATTTTAAGCTAGCCAAGATAATATACAAAAATTGTTTTACACTTTAAAAAATATTGCAGTTAATTCTTTAGTTTTTTCCTTTATTTTTAAATTTTCAAAGAAAAAAAATAAATTGTTATTCTTTTATTTTTATAAAATAAATAAATACTTAAATGTTATGTGAACGTGATTTATTATTGTAATTATATGACTTTACTAGCATTAATTCACATTTTATGAAAGTATATGGATACTTTTGTCTACTTTCTATAGAACAGAATAATTAGAAAATGAAGAAATTAAAAAAAACAGTTATAGATTGTAATATAACTAGATATGACAAAAATTTAATAGCTTAAATTCTTTTCTTTTTTAAAAAAATTTTTTGGGATTTATTGGTTATGAGAATGAATAGATTTTAGAATTAGTTAACAGATATTTACAAGTTATAATTTTTAACACCATTTTATTTATTTTGTATAATATAATGATAAATGAATATTTTTCCTTTTTTTGTTATTTATCACATGTGATGCCATAACAAAACCAATTTTATTTGTTTATTTCTATGAAATTAAAAAAAATATTATTCATTTATGTGTAGATAATTTATTTTTTACCACTTTGACACACGTTTTTACAAATTTTACTGAGATCTGACATGAATGAACTTTAACATTTGTATCAACAACTTCAGTATTTGGATCAAACCTAGTGCTTAAACTATCATTTAAACTAATGTCAGATCTTGAGCTCATAATGCTCATATTTGATGTTGATGTTGGAGGTGTTAAATAACCAGAATAATATATTGGTAGAGTTTCTGAAATTTAAAAATTAAATAATTAGCAAAAAAATCGATAAATAGTACATCATGATTCATTTTTTACCTTTTTGTACCAATACTTTATTCATTAATAATAACTTTTCCAATACTTCATAAACATATTCAATAATATGTCTCCTTTCAGGTTCATCATTCCAACATGTGTTATATAATTCATA